ATTTCTGTGAAATTTGGCTAATTTTATATTATGAAGTTGACTTGACTTACGTACAGTTTGATGTTAATTCTTGTGGAAGAGCTTTCTGCATGTAACATTAGACAGATACAGTTAAACAACACAGCATAGTACAAAACTGAAAATGTTTTGGCACCAGCAGAAAGAAATTTCACCCTAACCATTTGTCATTTTAAACTGTCATATTATCAGTTTTACCAGCTACTTCTAAATTTGTGCTTTATTAAAAAAAAATATTAAAGAATCCTAAGACTTGTCTAGCTTAGTGAAATATGTGTATATCAGTTTTAGGATGGATAGCTAAGTCTTATTACGCTGTGTTACTTAACTTGTATATATAGAATATACATAAGAGTTTGCAGTAACCTGTTTCTCCAGGATTTCCAGTTTGAATGATTTAATAAACTCTGACAATGAGATTAAGTAAATGATTTAGAAGACTGCAGAAGTAAAGTGAGTGTAAATCACAGGAAGCTCTATCAAATGGTGAAATAATTTTTAAAGATTCTTTTGGTCCTTGGCTCAAATTCAATAAATACTGTTTGTATACCAGGATATGTGAAATGTAAATGTTGTAGGTTATATTTCACTCTTGTAGCTATTAAAAATGTAGAACAGAGCTAGCTTGTACTACTGAGTTAACAAAAGTTATACTGAAGTATCCTGTTAAAGAAAAAAAAGTATACGGAGTTCAGCTCATTGCTGTAACCCCTTTTGGATTGAAGTGTGCTGATTTTTTTTATATATCTATATATATAAATTTGTGTGCTGATTTTTTTTATATATCTATATATAGATATAGATATATAAAATATACACGCACACACACACACACATAAAATGGCCTAAAGCAGACATCCATTGCATTGCAGTTATGAAATGAAGACGTTTTGGAAAGAACATTGTATCATAGTTCATAAATTTGCCGTGGATCTTTGTTCCTTTTTACTGTGGTATTTTAGAAATGAGTCTCAAGATTGAAATTAGATCTGCCAAGTTGGGGTTTTGCTGCTTCAGCTTTGCACTGGGTGCCCGAATAAACCAGTATGAATGTAGTGTTTGCCCTGTGTGAAGCAGCTATACCCCAACAAATAGGAGGAAAAAAACTAGAAAGAACTATTTCAAGTTTATCTTTTTGTATATGAAAATAAACAATAAATTACGAATATTAAGCTCTTCTTTTATTGATGCAACTTCTAAAGGCCTTTTTTTCTTTACATCTGCCTGAATTATTTGCTTTTAAAATACATTGTAGAGCATCTTCATTGTTTATGGCCTCCTTGCCATCTAGTAAAATTTGCACAGAATTGGAGCCTGCCTAATTCCACCCCATCACCTGGAACCTTCTTCCTGTTGGAGGGAGGTGAAACTCTGAAAATGAAGTTCCAGTTGAATCTATTCAGTCATGGGATATGCCGTTAAATACTATCTAGAGGCTTATGAAAATCTCATGGCCTCTGTGTGTGAGAGGAGACATGGCAACAAATAATTCATTAATAAAAAGGACTGCCACATAGGCAAATCCTATGAGCATGTGCATAGGTTGAGCACTAAGTTCTCTGATTCTAGTCCTACTGTCCCAGGACAAGATACATGGAAATAGATAGCATGAGCATGTTGGGGTAAGGTGTGGGAGCAGCGTACCTGGCCAACAGAAGTCCTCATCAGCTACCAAGGGACATCAAATATTATGATTTTCAGTTAATCCTTAGCACTGAAGTGTTCTGCAAACATTTATTAACTCATGTTCCCCTTGGAGGCATGTTACCCTTGTGTTATAGATGGGGAAGCTAAAGTACGGAGGAGGTTGTCCAAGACGACAGAGTGGATGTCAGAGCTAGGATTGGAATTGCACCTTCCTCTTGTCCCCATGTGTCATCTTTGATCTGCACCCTAGTGGGTGCGGTGGTGGGAGAGGGAAGACCTCAAGGAAATTGTGCTGAACTTTGACAACCGGAATTTCTGTGCTACTTATGTAACTCAGCATGATGCTAGAAACTAAATATCACCAAAACTTCAGTGAGAGGAGGGCTTCTTTTGCAAATGGGTGTGCAAAAGGATTTTGAGCAAGGTACCCTGGGTCTGACTCTCAGTGCTGAGATGCTCTCTGGTTATGTCTTTGGGATGTGTTGTGTGTTCCTTTGGAGGATTGGTTACTAGTATCAGCATAAATAACATTTTCACAAATTACTTGTCATAAATAAAGGGAAGGGTAACCACCTTTCTGTAGGTTTCAGAGTTAGTGTTAGTCTATATTCGCAAAAAGAAAAGGAGTACTAGTGGCACCTTAGAGACTAACCAATTTATTTGAGCATAAGCTTTTGTGAGCTCAAATAAATTGGTTAGTCTCTAAGGTGCCACTAGTACTCCTCACCTTTCTGTATACAGTGCTATAAAATCCCTCCTGGCCAGAGGCAACATCCTGTTACCTGTAAAGGGTTAAGAAGCTCAGCTACCCTGGCTGGCACCTGACCCAAAGGACCAATAAGGGGACAAGATACTTTCAAATCTTGGGGGAGTGAGGGGGAGAAGGCTTTTGTTTGTGCTCTTTGTTTACGTGGTGGTTCTCTCTTGGGACTGAGAGAGGCCAGACAGAAATCTATCTTCTCCAACCCATCCTAATCCAAGTCTCCAATATTGCAACCAGTATAGGTAAGCCAGGCAAGGCAGATTAGTTTCTTTTGTTTTATGTGAATTTTCCCTGTGTTAAGAGGGAGGTTTATTCCTGTTTTCTGTAACTTTAAGGTTTTGCCCAGAGGGGGATCCTCTGTGTTTCTGAATCTGAATACCCTGTAAAGTATTTTCCATCCTGATTTTACAGAGGTGATTCTTTTACCTTTCTTTAATTAAAATTCTTCTTTTAAGAACCTGATTGATTTTTCATTGTTCTTAAGATCCAAGGGTTTGGGTCTGTGTTCACCTGTACAAATTGGTGAGGATTATTATCAAGCCTTCCCCAGGAAAGGGGGTGTAGGGTTTGGGGGGAGATATATTGGGGAGTGATGTCTCCAAGTGGTCTCTCCCTGTTCTTTGTTTAAAACGCTTGGTGGTGGCAGCATACTGTTCAAGGCCAAGGCAAAGTTTATACCTTGGGGAAGTTTTTAACCTAAGCTGGTAAGAATAAGCTTAGGGGGGTCTTTCATGTGGGTACCGACATCTGTACCTTAGAGTTCAGAGTGGGGAAGGAACCCTGACAACTATTTTGTCTATATAATATAGTTACTCTTTTTTGAACATGTCCTCTTTCCACTTGGCCTGCCCAGTTGGAGTCTGGGAGAGCTGCTGAGCATTGAGCATTTTTGAAAATTAGGCCAGTTATTTAGATGCCTAAATATGGATTTCAGAGCACCCTCCGTCCTTATTTTCAAGGCCCTCAGTTGGAGGACCAGGGAATTGAAGGAGTGAGTAGCCCTTTCTCAAGAGCTCTGCTTTTCAGAAACAATGGAAAGATCTGCCAGCAGGCACAAGCTTGTGTGCCTGAGGCTTGGTCTACATTACAGAATTAGGATGACCTAAGGCAGCTTACGTTGACCTAATTATGGCAGTGTCTATACTAGACTGCTGCTTCTGCCAAAGTAAGTGGCCCGCTACACTGATAAAATTCAACTTCCATGTGAGGCATAGCACTTATGCCAGTGTAGTTAGGGTGATGCAGTATCCTTGTAGATGCTGCAGTACTTACTTCAGCTGTTCGCTGTCATTCTGTCAGCAGAGTGGGGACCTGTGAATTGACACGAATGTCTGTTTTTCTGCTGGTAGGCTCTGTACTGTAAACTTGAGCCTGGTGAGGCTCACAGCTGGGCCAGGCCTCTCCCCCCACCCCATCTCTGGGGTGACAGGCCAAGCTGCAAGCCTGGTGCTAGGCTGCCCAGCGCTGAAACCCCAGGCTTTCAGTTGTGCGTGGAGCTCCCAGCGGGGAGCCTGGTTGCCTGGGCTCCTAGCTCCCCTTGGAGCTCCTACAGCTCTGAGCCAGAGACAAGGGCAAGCATGTCTGTTTTGAGGCTGGTAGGCTCCCTGTTGTGAAATTGGGGGGGCTAGGTTCACAGCTGGGGCTGTCACCTCAGGGCAGGTGGGGGACTCCAGCTGTGAGTCCTGCCTATCAGTGCCCCATTTCAGTTGGTGATGCTCCTGGTGGGGTAGTGTGGACACCAACAGCCACTTGAATTACTGTGGTGACAGTAGGTCGATCTAAATTTGTAGTGTAGACAAGCCCGGAGCCAGGGCTCCTCTCACAGGGGCCCCAAGCCTTTAGAACTCATTACTCTAGGATCTAAAGATGATCACAGCTCCCCTGTGCTTTTCCACACAGCAACTCTTAACTATTAACATCTTAAGAAAATGCACATACTTCTCACGTGCCTTCCTCCCACTGCAGGGTGGAAGGGTGAGGACATAACTTTACTGTCTTTCAGCTTTTAGAAAGTACCTGGCTATTCATGGGTGCAGTGGAAACATCTAAACAAAATAGAAATCTTTGCCGGGAAAGCTGGGCCTAGGAGAGCCTGGCAGCTGGCCCCTGCTTTTCCCTATTTTTCCTAAGGCATAATTCTTCACTGGGGCTCGCTGCGTTACCCAGATCAGTGCCAGCCTAAATTTACAAGCTGAAGACTCTGTTTTACTGAACAGGCACCGGCTCCGCTCCAGGGAGCGGCAGGGCTGCTGAGGCCGGGCAGAGTAACAGAGCCCAAGCCGCGGAGCAGCCCTTGCCAGCATCTCCCCCGACCTCTGTGGAACCGCGGCGGGAGGCCTTCCCTGAACGAAGCCCGAGAGCGGAGCTTTCAGGGGGAAAATAAGCGACTCTTAATGTAAGAAGAGCCCGGTGCTGGGAAACCCCCCTTGAGCGTGGGTGGCTTCCTCCCACCGTGCAGCTCGCTAGCCCCAGGCCCTGGGCCGGGCGCCCTGCAGGCTGGGGCTGGCGGGCGGCCCGGCTCCTCTCCCCGGCCGGCCAGCAGGGGGCTCTGTGGGGACGCCGCGGAGTGGGAGCCGCCTCCCCAGGCCGGGCCATGGCGGAGACGTCGGGCGCCCGCTTCGCCAAGCGCCGCTTCCTGGGTGGCTTCGTCTGCGGGGCCGTGCTGGGCGCCGCCGCCTCCGGCCTGGCCGCGCTGCGGCTCCTCCGCAGCCAGCCCGGCCCAGCGCCGGCGGCCCCCCGCGAGCGGCCGCAGGGTAAGAGCGGAGCCGGAGGAGGAAGTTCCCCCTGGGAGTCCCCGGCCCCGCCAGCCCCAGAGCCCTGGTCCCCGGCCTGATCAGCTCCCCCCCCAACCCACCTCAATGCCCCGTCCCCATAGACCTCCCTCCCCTCCCTCGTCGGCCCCCCAAAACCCTCCATACTGCCCTGTCCCCATAGACCTCCCTTCTCTCCCTCGTCAGCCCCCCAAAACCCTCCTTACTGCCCTGTCCCACCCCCATAGACCTCCCTCCCCTCCCTCATCAGCCCCCGCAATCCTCCTCACTGCCCTGCCTCCCTAGATCTCCCTTCACTCCCTCATCAGCCCCCCAAAATCCACCTCACTATCCTGCCCCCATACACCTCCCTTCCCTCGCCTCATCAGCACCCCCAACAACCCTCCTCACTGCCCTGCCCCTATAGACCTTCCTCCCCTCCCTCGTCAGCCCCCCAAAACCTTCCTCACTGCCCTGCCTCCATAGATCTCCCTCCCCTCCCTCATCAGCCCCCAACAACCATCCTCACTGCCCTGCCTCCATAGACCTCCCCCTCTCATCAGCCTCCCCAAAATCCTCCTCGCTGCCCCGCCCCCCTAGATCTCCCTCCTCTCCCTTGTCAGCCCCTGCAAAACCTTCCTCACTGCCCTGCCCCCATACATCTCCCTCATCAGCCCCCCCAAAAGCATTCTCACTGCCCTGCCCCCATGGACCTCCCTTCCCTCGCCTCATCAGCACCCCTAACAACCCTCCTCACTGCCCTGCCCCTATAGACCTCCTTCCCCTCCCTCATCAGCCTCCCAAAACCTTCCTCACTACCCTGCCTCCATAGATCTCCCTCCCCTCCCTCATCAGCCCCCCAACAATCATCCTCATTACCCTGCCTCCATAGACCTCCCCCCTCTCATCAGCCTCCCCAAAATCCTCCTCACTGCCCTGCCCCGCCCCCATAGATATCCCTCCCCTCCCTCATCAGCCCCTCAAAACCCTGCTCACTGCCCTGCCCCCATAGACCTTCCTCCCCTCGCCTCATCAGCAACCCTCCTCACTGCCCTGCTCCCACACACCTCCCTCATCAGCCCCCCCAAAACCCTCCTCATAAACCATAAAGCGTTCTACTCCATTGTTACACAGGCCCTGGTGGATCACAGAGGTCAACGTGTTGCACTGGCAAAGTTCATATTTAAGCGCTTTGTAGAACTGGGAAGTTAAAGCTTGCCTCTGTGAGGGACTGAGTGCATCCTGTGGTGCGGTAAATGCTCTTAAGACCCACTAGCTTCATTGCAGGGGAGTTAGAATGTGGGGAGTTATCCTTACAGGTTTGCACTCTAAATAAAGTATGCATCCGATGAAGTGAGCTGTAGCTCACGAAAGCTCATGCTCAAATAAATTGGTTAGTCTCTAAGGTGCCACAAGTACTCCTTTTCTTTTTGCGAATACAGACTAACACGGCTGTTACTCTGAAACCTAAATATTTAATGCAAGTTTGGTGTCAAGCATGGATATGTCTCTGGTGGACATAAGTTATTCTTTTAAGAATAGCTTTTAAGCTGTAGCTTACGAAAGCTTATGCTCAAATAAATTTGTTAGTCTCTAAGGTGCCACAAGTCCTCCTTTTCTTTTTGCGGATACAAACTAACACGGCTGCTACTCTGAAACCTGTCTTTTAAGTGTATTTTTTTTGGTCTTAGATATGTTTTCAGTTCAAATCAAATAGAGTGTTATTCAATACTATGTATAGAAACATGAGCGACGTTCCCCTCCCTCTTTTGTTTCTAATCCCTGTTTCATCTGAGGATCATTTTTTGTTTGTTTCCCCCCTTAGAACCAGTGGAAGTGTCTCTTCTGGAACAGTATGGATTCCCTGTAGCTGGAACAGAGACCAGATGTTACACAAATCATGCACTGTCTTATGATCAGGCAAAACGGGTACCTAAATGGGTGATTGAACATATTTCAAAACAGAAGACACTGGGTATGTATGTGTGTGTTTGTTTATTTTGATGGCACCCGCAAGTGGGATAGGCACGTCACAGAAAATACATAAAGGGGATAGGTCTTGTTCTGAAGATCTTTCAGTCTGTGACCCAATCCTCCAATGAGCTCTGTGGAGCTGGATCTGTGCGCCCACTGAGAGTCTCACCAAAATCAGTGAGGCCTGGAAGTGCTGGGTTGATTACCCTAGTCCTGTAACAGGGATCTACCAGTGCAAGTCCTCATGCCTGTTCCAAGTGCCATTTTCCTTCGTGGGACTATGTGCTGGCAGAAGGGAGCATATTGAAGGATTTCTCTGCAGGATCGGGGCTTACGTGACAAATGTGACGGGTTTGAGTATATTCCATACAGCTTGAAGGGGAGGGGTCAGGAAGGACATGAGTTACAGGTATAAGATGAGGTGGTTGTACAGTTTACACAGACAAGTCTGGTGGTTCAGCGACTGTGTGTACGTCTGAAACACTCATTTGTTGTAGGTGACCTTGCAGAAGTGGGTCTTAAAAGGTGAAGTTAATGAATGTGAGGCTACCAATGTAAAATTAAACTAAGGCCCCAACGCCGCACCCATTTACAAACGTGCTTAATTTCACTCACTGGAACAGTCCCCTTGAAGGCAGTGGATTACTCAAGTGCTTAAAGGTGATCCTGGGGCAAATCTTCAGCTGCTGTAAATTGTCATAGCTCTATTCAATGGAGCTATCACAGGTTTACACCAGTTGAGGATCTACCCCTTGTCTGTCTTTGCAGGATCAGAGTCTGAATTAGTCAGAATAGCTCTGTGAGAAATTTAGTTAAAATACAAAGTGCCAGAAAAATAGGAGTAGGTAATATATAGCCCTGAAATAACATTTTGGGGAAAGTTGAATCAAGTGGGATCAACTGATCAAAACGAAATAATTAAAGTAGCACATTGTATTACATTTGTTACTCAGTATGTAACACATACTCTTTGTAACCCATTACTTACATTGCCTTAGTTCCACTATTTCTCTTGTGCGCATCTGATTCCCTCTTTTCTACTGCATATGTAAGAAAATAACTGTTTTCACCATCTGAATGAAATGCAAACAATATACAATCATCTTAATTTAAGTTTATAGAATTATTTCAGTTTTAATATTGGAAGTTGTTATTGGTAACAAAAGGTACCTGTATAACTGCAAAATAAGTAGCATCCCTTTTGCTGTATCTCAATCGCAATCTTCATGGTAGCTTTCAAAACTACAGACATGATCCTGCCAGCACTTAGACCTGACTGTAAGTAGTCCCATTGACTTCAGTGGTTCATCAGATGAAAGCAGTAATTTTAAAATTGTATTTGAGTGTCTGTAACCATCTGACATGTTAAAATGTTGTCCAAAGAATCAGAATCAAACTAACCAACCAGTTGAGATTAAATATCTTGAGACATACAATTCTGATATATGTCTGTTTGCTACTCTGATTAAGACATAGTCCTATCAAAATCGAGGCGGAAAATAATACTCAGATCGTATATAGAATCCTGAAATGTAAGCACTTTGGGAAGGCACATTGGATAACAGCTCTTTTTATTCTGTAATGATGATGGTTTGCTAATAACCTGACTATTTAGTATGTTGTTCCTCAGGCAACGCAGATCGAAGGCACTGCAAATTCAGACCAGATCCTAGTATCCCTCTCATGTTTAGTGCTGTCAATGAAGACTACATTGGGAGCGGGTGGTCGCGAGGACATATGGCACCAGCAGGAGATAACAAATTTTCAGTAGTAAGAATCCTTCTTAACTTATGTCTGTCAGTGGGAAGGTGAGCTAAAATTTATTTATAATGGGTTTTTTTGAGAGGAAGCATGGCCTACTTGTTGAGGGATAGGACATGGAATCAGGAGTTCTGGGTTTTCATCCTGATTTTGCTGTAGACTTGCCTTGTAAAACTGAGCAACTCACAACTTTCTATGCCCCGGCTTCTCTATCTGTAACATGGGGATGATTTACTTATCACACCTTAAAGGTCTCTTCTGATGCTTACTTAATAAGTGAGTGGAAGAAAGCAGCACTGTCCTCTTAGCCAACAGGTACTGAGATATTTATACCTCGATGGACAAAGCACTAGCAAACATACTGTAAAGAGCTGCCCTGCACTGGCAGGGGAATAATTTAGATGATTTAAAGATCTGTTCCCTTTCTAATTCTGTGTATGAAGTGAATGAAGGGACTGCCTTACCATTTGCCTTAGATGTCCTCTTAAAGTCTACGAAGTGTCTTTACTTACCTGATCTATGAAGTTGTAAAATAAGCATACCAAAATATTGGTCCCTTAATCCCTTGGCTGACTAACAAAGCAGCCTTGGTTCTATCTGGTCCTAGTTTGATTTTGTTCCATAATAGAGATGATTTGCTATTTAGGAAGCAGACTGAAAGTGCATTTTGTCCTGAAATGTAATATGCTGTGGAGCAGGGTGATGGCAGCACTGTGTTACGTAGTAAATTAATGCACTAGTCATTTTACTTATAGTGGAAGGGTCACTGATGGATTTTGTCTGTTATTCCAGCTATTTCAACATGTTTAGCAGCTTGTACAATGAAGCCCAGGACTAAAATAGGGTTAGATATGCTAACTGGAATATTTCACAGTTTGCACAACTGCTACCTGTACTAAGCATTGTTCTAAATATTGCTGCCAGATCCTTAACTTCTGTGAATAAGGAGAATCTGAAAAAGCACTTAAAATGAAATAAAATAATAAGATGCAGGATAAGAGCCTGAGATTTTACTTTCATATTTTTTCACATATGTGTAAATGTATAGGACCAGAAGAAGGCCAAGGTTACTTCTTCTCTGGATTCAGAGTAGCAGTCGTGTTAGTCTGTATTCGCAAAAAGAAAAGGAGTACTAGTGGCACCTTAGAGACTAACCAATTTATTTGAGCATAAGCTTTCTTGAGCTACAGCTCACTTCATCCGAGCTCACGAAAGCTTATGCTCAAATAAATTGGTTAGTCTCTAAGGTGCCACTAGTACTCCTTTTCTTTCTTCTCTGGAATTACTTGGGCCTCAATCCTGAAATGTTTGTGCACCTTCTTAACTCTACTCACAATTTGTAAAGTTAAACAGGTGCATAAACCTTTGCAGGATCAGGGCCTTGCTGACCATTCCATCATCTGCACCCTGTATATTTTTAAAATTGTAAAATGTTGGTAATGTAAAACCTTTCCTGCCAAGTAAAGGCAAAAACGTATTGAACCAATCTGGGAAATAAGAACTGTAAGTGCAAATTTCCCTCCCCTCCAGAAAAGGCAGCCAGCTACTCCCAAACTAATTACAAACTAATGACCCTTTAACATTAATTCCATACTGTCATTCAATATTATGCTTAAATATTATTTTGTTTGCTGGCTCCAAAAATGGATACACTTCTGAAAGTTTCTGTAGAATGATAGATGGGCCTGAGCTGCAAAGATCATATCCCAATTTTCCATCTCTACTTCCGCCCCAGTACTTCGGCGGTGCTCTGATATAGGATTTTGATTTTACCCATTATGTAAATAATGTTCAGCTCTGAAGTTTGGCTCTAGATATGGGTTCTGATTCCAAACTCTCCTAAAGTTTGGCTTCGTTTTCAGCCTATCTCAATAACATTTCAATAACATGGCACCATTTTTTCTTTATATAGCAAGCTATGGCTGAAACATTTTACCTGTCCAACATTGTGCCCCAGAATTACAAGAATAATGCTGGATTCTGGAACAGGTAAGATGTTACTTTTTTATGGATTAAGTGTAAGATGAAGACTAAGTTTAAGTCAGTGGTAAAACACTAATAATATCTTACATATATATAGCAAAGGATTTCTAAGCACTTTTCAAGCCATGTGCAAGAATACTGCATGCTACATATTGCAGCCTCCTCCAAGAGGAAAGGCAGTGCCAAGAACAATATGCAATCATTTTGGTGCATTATCCAATAGAAACTGTAGGAGGGATTTAGTTAGGTGAATATAATTATTTATCCTAGGGGTTAACATCAGGAGCCAAGCTGGGTTGGAATGCCAAGAGATCAGAATTGAGAGACAAACTGGAGGGCAGGGATCAAGAGTCAGGTCAGCTGTGCAACCCAATCCTTCAGGGCTTGGTTAGCCACCTGAAGGCAGGTGGCCCATTCAGGTGAGTCTAGTGATTCTGGGCTGCTGGGTCCATTCCTCTCACAGGGGGCCCACTCCTGTGGGTTACAGAGATCTGTACAAGCTGTCAAGACCGGGGTGTGGGTGGCCTGGCCTTGGGTTTAATGTCAGGCACAGGCCGAGGGGCCAGGAGCCAATTACCAGGAATCAGGCCAGGTTGGAATACCAGGAGATTAGAATTCAGAGACAAACCAGAGGGCAGGAACCAGGAGGCAGTTACCAAGATTCAGGCTGAGTCAGGATACCAGGAGGTCAGGAACAGGTAAATGCCAGATCAACAGTCTGTGTCAGGGTGAAGCCCAGTTGTAGGTGGTGTTAGATGTTTGGCTGTGTGTGTGCTCCCTCTGTGCTGTCCCAGATCTGCGCAGACATTTGGCACAGCAGACCTCGAGCGAACTGCCCAGCGACCACAAGATATGTTAAGGTATGAAGGCACCCAGCCAGGTTATTGCGAACAAAGAATGGTCCTAGCTCCCTGGATCAATGTCTACAGTTACACTAGCACATGTATGCCCATGACAATGGACACAGCTCAATCAGTGGCGGGACTTTCCACTGCCCCCTAGGCTGGCCCAAAACACTCCCCCTGAGACTCTGTTTTATACATCAGTACAAACAAGTTACGTATTGCCCCTCTGATGTAGTTAGTTGACACCTTCTGACGTAGCCCGTTACCACCCATCACCTTGTACCTGTTGTTTTGATCAAAACATCTCTATCCATCGTGTTGTTATCCTGACCTTATCTTTAAGATGGATCAACATATTCCTGCTATCTTTGGGGAATGTGCTGGTATCGGGGTGTTCTGGTACCACCCTTCTGGAATGTGTTTGCATGCATGGCCTGTGCCTAGCGCTTCTTTGGAATTTGTGTTTCTGCAACATTAGGCCTGTTCTTGCCAGATTCTGTGCACAGGTCCTGCCTTTTACTCACAACTTAACTTTGCTTTATTGCAGCAAAGCTTTGACCACTACTTTAGTTTAGGCCTCATACCACATCTCTAATATAAGGGCTTATGTTTCAGGCCCTCTTCCTACTACAAGAGGGACAATTTCCTTTTTTCTCCTCTGGCTTAAGTAGGGGCTGTGGCCCAATCAGGAGACTTGGAGCTCTCCCAGTCAGAGCATAGGGGAGTGGCTTATGTCCCAGTTGGGCTTCTTCAACCCTGGTCCCAGCTGCTGTCTGAAAGCTGCCAGGGGGAAGACTGGAGTATGACTTTCCCCCACCACTCCCACAGCTACAGGTTTGAGACCTGCAAGGCCTGACAGGAGTACACGCATCCAAGTAACAACCAGCCAAAATCTTCCTTTGTGAAGACTGGTAGCATCACAGCTTTGAGGTGATGGAACTGGATGATGTCTATTAACTGTTCATATTGGCTCTTTTCCTTTGTTCTTTTGAGGTGAAAACTATTTAATAACTAAAACAAACATTGATTCTGTACTTGTGTGGGACTCAATATCTTTTAAGGCTCAGAAATCAAAGGGAGTGATGAATTTTACAAGGCTCAATCAAGGAGAGGATAATAAAATAATGTAAAATATTACAATTAAAAATCTAGCATAGGAAATGATTCATCATTCTTGCAAACGCTGCTTCTGCTTTTGCAAGAATATATATAAAAGCATATGAGGCATTCAGTAAGGTTATATGATTTCATGGATAAATAATGCACTATAGCATTTTAAGAGATATTCTATTGTTTTAATGCCTCAGAAATTTGGGCATAAGTTTTCACTGATGCTAAAGCTAGGCACGTGCCGGTTTAGGGTCAGGAGCTTCTTTCAGTTGAGAACTCTGGCTAATCAGGAGATCATGGGGAGAGCCTGAAAATTGCATCGGGCATCTACAGCCCCAAGGTCTTAGCCTACTAAGTAGAATTAAATATCAATGTTACCACTCCCCTCCTCCCCCAGTGCCATGCCCCCCGCAATTTAAAGGAATAAAACTACTGTGTTGTTTATTCAGTTCATATTGCCATTAAGCTTTCTATATGACGCAATTTTAAGGATGAAATGTACTATGTCTCTAGCTTTTGTTTTCTTCTACCTTGTCAGGGTTCCTTCCCCATTCTGAACTCTAGAGTACAGATGTGGGGCCCCTCATGAAAGACCCCCCTAAGCTTATTCTTACCAGCTTAGGTTAAAAACTTCCCCAAGGTACAAACTTTGCCTTGTCCTTGAACAATATGCTGCCACCACCAAGCGTTTTAAACAAAGAACACTGAAAGAGCCCACTTGGAAACGTCTTCCCCCAAAATATCCCCCCAAGCCCTACACAACCCCTTTCCTGGGGGGGCTTGAGAATAATATCCGAACCAATTTGTTACAAAATCATCAAAGACCCAAACCCCTGGATCTTGGAACAATGGAAAAATCAGTCAGGTTCTTAAAAGAAGGATTTTATTAAAAAAAAAGAAAAGAAAGAAAGGTAAAAATCATCTCTGTAAAATCAGGATGGAAAATACTTTATAGGGTATTCAGATTCAAAACACAGAGGATCCCTCTCTGGGCAAAACCTTAAAGTTACAGAAAACAGGAATAAACCTCCCTCTTAACACAGGGAAAGTTCACATAAAACAAAAGATAAACTAATCCGCCTTGCCTGGCTTATCTATACTGGTTACAATATTGGAGACTTGGATTAGGATGGGTTGGAGAAGATGGATTTCTGTCTGACCTCTCTCAGTCCCAAGAGAGAACAGCCACATAAACAAAGAGCACAAAACAAAAGCCTTCCTTCCCCCAAGATTTGAAAGTATCTTGTCCCCTTATTGGTCCTTTGGGTCAGGTGCCAACCAGGTTAGCTGAGCTTCTTAACCCTTTACAGGTAACAGGATGTTGCGTCTGGCCAGGAGGGATTTTATAGCACTGTATACAGAAAGGTGGTTACTCTTCCCTTTGTATTTATGAATACCCCTTCCTGGCTTCACTTCTCTTTTCCTTTCTTCTCTTTTATAATTGATTATTTTTAGTGTTGTCTTTCAGTGTTTGTGTTCTTTTTTCATTTTCTCCCCTCAATATCCTTATATCTCTCTCTCTCTTTCTTACATTTTATCTGCCACCTCTATATTTTCTGTATCTCCTTACTTCTCCCCACCAAAAAATCTCTCTCAATACCATGCTGCTTTTCTAATTTATCCCATCAGTTTCTTCCTCTCTCTCTCTCTCTCTCTCCCAACCCAACTATATGAAATAACTGTTTGTACGTTGGACTATGTCAAATTGACTAAAGTGAGACTTGCAAACCAAATGTGAGACACCTCCTCTCTTCTCTCCTGTAGGGGTCCCCACAGTGATCATTTTGATGTAAGCAGCTGCTGTGACCTGTAGGAACCATATAAAGAGTGGCTATAATCAGTTCCCTTTTCTGAAAACTAGGCATGACTTGGCAAGCTGTTCACATGGACAAACTTTTCATGTTCCCAACTAAATTCACTAAGTATTTTTCTGAACCCCAAAAATATGCGGTAACCAATGATACCTTTCCTAAAGGCAGTGTTACATTGTTCCTAATCAGTTTCACACAGAAGAGCAAGAAGGGGCTTGGAGACTGCCATTGGCATCAGTGCATGTGAGAGAATGCCTGGAACACTTGCAATTTGACATTTAAGATTCTAAAAAATGCAGCTTAAAAAATTCTCTAATTATATATTTTACAAAAATATTTGGCAGTATGTTGAAGGACCATAATTCCTCTAAAACATGGAGGAGCAAACAAAAAATAATATAAAAAAGCCGTTTGAAATGAGATTGGATGCAGCCGGCCTCCCCCCTCCCCCCGAAATTCTTATTTACTGAAAGTAAATAAGATCAAGATCTCAAGAAAGATCAAGAACTCAGTAGTGGAAATTATTGGGGAATTTGAGTTTTGAGGGAATGTGATGAAACTGCTGATCTGAGGTCTCAAATGTGTGCAGAAAATGCATGACCAATTGTAAATTAACCAATGGAGCGTGAATGAAGGAGATGGGACAACAACAACTTCAACTTATGCATGCATTTACCCATTTTTGGCATGCAGTTTAGGCCCATATTTTTGAAAATGCACCCCAAAAGTGTCTGAGAGTAGTTTGTCTTGCCCTCTATGTTCTAGGCATATTTTTTTAAAAAAAATTAAAGTTTACCCACTGGCATTCCTTGACGTGAGGGATATCTTTGCAGAATGGAAATGTATTGTCGGGAGCTGACAGAGAGATTTGAGGATGTTTGGATAGTTTCTGGACCTTTGACCTTGCCTCAGACAGGGGATGATGGAAAGAAAAGAGTTACCTATCAGGTAGGTACCTGTGCTGCTGTTATACACTAAATTGAATGTCACAGTTAACAGTATCTTTACATAAAACAGAAGCAAATAAACATAGTTGTCTTGCAGGTTGGTTAAAACAAAGTTAAACTCCTTTGTAGTACTTGCAAAATGTTGGAATAGACATTTGCACTATTGTAGCTTGCCTACACTCTGAAATCGTGCTGCAGTAAATTCTGTTATAAAATCCTTCATTTTGTTCATGTAATAGAGGGCATTTAAATGCCTCTTTATAAAGCTGTATTAAAACTGTACTTAGTGCTTCTATACTGCAAGATAACTGCTAGGTAGAGGGCCAGTGGGGTTTGCTGAGGTATATGTATCTATTTAATCATATATTTATATATTCTTTAAAATTACACATCTCTGAACCATCAGAATGCTAACACAGTGTGGGTTTTCAAAGTCACCGAAGGGTTTTGGGTGCCCTGTTGCCATTCATTTTAACAGCAATTAGTTGTCCAAATCCCTTCGCCAGCATTTAAAATCTGAGCCGTAAAGCCTGATCTAAAAATCAGTGAAGTCAACTGAAAGGCTTCAGCTGAGTTCGGTAGGCTTTGGATGCAGCCTTATCACTGTAATCTTCATCCTCCCTCCCTGTTGCCCTTTATTTTTTATTACACCCATTGATGTGTAAAATGTTTGTTGTAATTTTGGACAAGGTTTTCAGAAGTTATTGCATTACAAGCCAAGAGACCAAGAAATGCTGTTGAGTTGACTGATAGCCCCCCCCCACCTCTTTGCTTGACCAACTGCTCTTATTCTTAAAGGTAAGTATGTGTGTAAGTTCTTGTAGGAGCTGTTCAAAGCAGGGACTATCTTTGACTGTGCAGCACCTAGCATGATGGGGCCTTAATCCCGCCTAAGGTCTTTGGGTGCTAGCATAATGCAAATTAATAATTCATAATTTTCATCTTCAGAAATAAAGATTTACAACCTTTAATCAACGCAATATGCTTGTGAGGTAGGTAATTGTTGTCCTCATTTTACAAATGGAGAAACTGAGAATGGTTAAATGACTTGACCAAGGCCACACAGCAAGTCAGCAGCAAAGCTAGGATTACAATGTTCTGGAGTCCAGGCTTGTGCATAGCCCACTAGACTTTGCTTCACTTTGATTATCATGATCTTTTAGTTTCAATTGTTTATCCTTTAAAAAAGATTATTATCTTGGATTACAAAGAATTAATAATCAACTGGAATCCAGAGGATGGACCCTAAGAATATCTTAAAAATGACAGTGATTTTCCAGCAAGCTGTAGAATTGTTTAGAGTCTAGCAGTTGTTTCCACTATGTTGAATTTTAGTCAGCATTTTCTAAATTGTGTTGTTGGAGGAACAATGTCTCCTCCCAGTACATAGAAAAGGAAGAGTATATTTTAAAAAAACACTCTAACTCTGGCTAGCAGTTTTGAAATGTTAATTTTAGTACTCCACAGGTAAAAATAAGACCAGTGTTTGTATCTTACTGCCTTTATTAAAAGTAACTTGATACCAACATACTATACTTGAATAATACAGTAGCACAGTGTGTCCCTGTGGCTTTGATTACCGTATAATTTTGTTCTAGTCTGGTGCCAAGATATCTTCATCATCCCTGGGTTTGAAGACAACTCACGTCTTTTATGAATGTCGTATCAGTTTTGGTCTTAATACAAGCTATGAAGTGAAGTTCGATCTTATATGAGTCTGGGATAGGAAATGGCAAAGTGATGGTCACATTTATAAACCCTCTGTAGTAAATTACCTTTTTCCAGAATGAGGTACAGTGGATAGATTCCTTTGCAACTTAACACTTTGTCATGAATTTTTTTATTATATTCCCAAACTAGCATATATTTAGTTTGAGGGTGGGAGTAATTTAATTAGTTTTACTATTTGAATGATTTCAACTTAAAATCTTTAATTATGTATATGCATGATTGTTTATTTTAGCTGGTGTTTTGAATGTGTTTGTGAATTTTAGAAAGAATCACTATTAAATTTCACGAAAAAGGAAAGGGGATAGAAAATAACAGAAAACAAGCTAAATTTCAACCTAATGTGGCTATAGTTCTACTGCTTCTAAAGGTTGTTTAAAGGAACATGCAGTCTTTTCAACTCGCAACCACTCAACTGTGTATTTGTTTGGTTATTTGCAGTAGCATGAATGCTAGATGCTTGTTGGCGCCTGATTCTCTTTGAAATTTGAGAAGGGACTCATAGACTCTTAATAGGAAGAACTTGCTATTTGCAAATGTGCTTTGTAGCATATGGATAAAGCCACTTGTGTTCAGGTGCTTTTAAAGGGTTCATTCCCTTATTGTAAATAAAATAGACACTGAAAATACCTAAAATTGCCCAGTTTTTGTCATTTTGAATATTGTTTGCAGTAGAGACTCTTCTGATCTCACTAGGAGTTTGTCCCTTGGGGAGCAAGACTTTGGAGTGTAGGAATTTTTTATTCACCAGTAAAAACTAATTCTCTCTCCTAAAACAGGGGGCATAATTTGCCAAATCACACATAAAAGTTCATTAAAAATAAATATCTAGAGTGAAATCTGGCCCCTGTGAAGTCAGTGGGAGTTTTGCCATTGACTTCATAGGCCAGGATTTCACCCCTTCAGCCAGGAACCCAAAGAATTTGCTACTGAGCAAGAACTGGCGGGTACCCTTTTAGCCATCTTTTGGTAGTGACCTGTGTTGTGTTCAGACCAGTGACCTAGAAATGGAAGGTTCAGTAATCCACAACCAGCCTCTAATCTCATTGTTTGTTTGATGTGGATGACATGGGAAAGTATCACTCATTTGAAGTTGTTGTTTAAAGAGAGAAACTGTAGTGTAGATTCAAGCACTGAAATTACATACCAAGGATCTAACAATGTAAATTCTACAGCTGGGCTACTCATATCTTTATGCTCCTCCACTGTTTTCTTTTGTGAAACAAAAGATGTGTAAGTACTAAAATGTGCATGTATGCATTAATCTATTTACTGGTCCACTCTTCAGTCTGTGTTTTCTTGTTCTTGGCTATTCAAATGGTGAAATATAGACCCACTGATGGCAAGGCTGGTGATTTTCTCATCATGGATATCCCCAAAACATTATTTTTAGATCACTTTAGAGCAGTGGTTCCAAAACTTAATTCGTGGCTTGTTCAGGGTAAGCCCCTGGCAGGCCGCGAGACACTTTGTTTACCTGAGCGTCCGCAGGTACGGCCGCTCGCAGCTCCCAGTGACCATGGTTCGCCGTTCCCGGCCAATGGGAGCTGCAGGAAGCAGCGCGGGCTGGGCCATCGCTTCCCGCAGCTCCCACTGGCCAGTAACGGTGATCCGCGGCCACTGGGAGCTGCGAGCAGCCGTACCTGCTGACGCTCCATGTAAACAAAGTATCTTGTGGCCTGCCAGGGGCTTACCCTGAACAAGCCTCAAACCAAGTTTGGAAACCACTGCTATAGAGAAAAGTCAGAGCAGCAGCCATGGCATTGTTCCCAGTTCCTGCTTGGACTGCTGTACCATTTGTTGTTTAATTCCAGAAAGGGAATTAACCTCAAATTCCTTATATGCCGATGTTGTTCTATCTGTTGGCTGAACTTGCTGTATCCCAAGATAAATTCTGTCAGCTCATCTGCCTCCAGTGGAGGCTTTTATTGCGAAGGATAGATTGATGATTGTGCTTGGTATTTGAGAGATACATTTGCAGAATATATATAGATGTATAAAAAATGTAAAATAGAATGCCAACAGGAAGAATCTGTTCTGTGTCACTGGAGAGGCAGATGCAGGTTTTTCATCTTTGTCCAGAGCAAATCAAAATGACATTGTCTTCTTTTATATATTACTATTCTCCAGCGAACGTCAGTTTAGTGATTTTCCTCTGTTGGCAGATTGTTGGTTTTAAATGAGACTTATACCGTAATTTTATTGCATCACACTCCTCTCTCCACCCTTCGCTCACAATGAAATGATACTAAATCATAACAAACTTTTTCAGAAATTGTTGTAAAAAGAAAGCACAATTGAGATCTTGTTTATTTCAGAGAAGACATTTTGCTTGACACTTTTTTTAACGAAGTATTTAATAATTACTGGAAGTATTTATCTTTTAATGTTTAAAGATGTTGATTTAATGGAATTAATACTTTTTCCTAACACAAGACAGAAATCAACAATATGAGATGGGGTGCACACCAGTAACTGAGGGGTGGGTGGTTAAAACCCTAACAGCACCTTTTCAAGTGTGTGATGGTGATGTAAAGATGACTGAAGACCCTCTCAAAGGTTTTTATTAATCTCTTTAATCTAGATATTACAAGGGAAAAGAACCTGCAACACAGAAGGAAGCAAACTTTGGTGCCATTATTAGCACTCCAGATATGCTGAGTACTATAGAGACAAGTAGCAGACACAGTTTCTACCCCAAAAGGTGTAGAAAGGGCCAAGATCTCAGAATCTAAGGGCCAGGATCTCAGCTTAAATGTGCATAGCTCCCTCAGCCGCTAAATTTGGACAAGATGAATAAATGAAAATAATTTAAACACTGCGGAGGTAAAAAGGAAGACAGAGGTTACACAATAGGCTTATGTGGTTGCTTTCATTTAGCAATGCAGGCATCTGGAAGGCTAGCTGTGGTTGGGTTTTTTTTTTAAACATATTAAAGTTACTATAGGGGAAGTTGCAGTGACTGCTATATTTAGATTGCCTAACACCGAATGAGGCACAATTTCTCTGGAAAAAATAATATGTGATCATTTATTAAAGACTGTATTATACTCTGTATGTACAAGGAGGCTGATTTATGTCGAGCTGATTCAGAAATTTTCAACAAAACTTTTTTTATTGGAAAATTATTTGTCAAAACTGAGCTGTAGCTCCCCCCCAACCCCCCGTACCAATGCTTATTTAATTATACCAAGTGGAACCACTCCCATTGGAGAGATTGAGAAAGAGACCAGCTCTATAGTCCCGGGGTTCGGCCACTCATCTGGGATGTGG